ACATGTCTTTGTTCTCATTGGTTTCAAAGAACATCTTTATTTCTGCCTTCATTTCATTATGTACCCAGTAGTCATTCCGGAGCAGATTGTTCAGTTTCCATGTAGTTGTGCAGTTTTGAGTGAGTTTCTTAACTCGGAGTTCTAATTTGATTGCACTGTGGTCTGAGAGACAGTTTGTTGTGATTTATGTTATTTTACATTTGCTGAGGAGTGCTTTACTTCCAACTATGTGGTCAATTTTGGAATAAGTGTGATGCAGTGCTGAGAAGAGTATATATTCTGTTGATTTGGGGTGGAGAGTTCTGTAGACGTCTATTAGGTCCACTTGATGCAGAGCTGAGTTAAAGTCCTGGATATCCTTGTTAGCCTTCTGTCTTGTTGATCTGTCTAGTATTGAGAGTGGGGTGTTAAAGTCTCCCATTATTATTTTTTGGGAGTCTAAGTCTCTTTGTCGGTCTCTAAGGACTTGCTTTATGAATCTGGGTGCTCCTATATTGGGTGTATATATATTTAGGATAGTTAGCTCTTCCTGTTGAATTGATCCCTTTACCATTATGTGATGGCCTTCTTTGTCTCTCTCTTTTCTTTTTTTAATCTTTGTTGGTTTAAAATCTGTTTTATCAGAGACTAGGATTGCAACCCCTGCTTTTTTTTCTTTTTTTTTCTTTCCATTTGCTTGGTAGATCTTCCTCCATCCCTTTATTTTGAGCCTATGTGTGTCTCTGCACGTAAGAGGGGTCTCCTGAATACAGCACACTGATGGGGCTTGACTCTTTATCCAATTTGCCAGTCTGTGTCTTTTAATTGGGGGCATTTAGCCCGTTTACATTTAAAATTAATATTGTTATGTGTGAATTCCATCCTGTCATTATGATGTTAGCTGATTATTTTGCTCATTAGTTGATGCAGTTTCTTCCTAGCATCGATGGTCTTTACAATTTGGCATGTTTTTGCAGTGGCTGGTACTGGTTGTTCCTTTCCATATTTAGTGCTTCCTTCAGGAGCTCTTGTAAGGCAAGCCTGGTGGTGACAGAATCTCTCAGCATTTGCTTGTCCGTAAAGGATTTTATTTCTCCTTCACTTATGAACCTTAGTTTGGCTGGATATGAAATTCTGGGTTGAAAATTCTTTTCTTTAAGAATGTTGAATATTAGCCCCTACTCTCTTCTGGCTTGTAGAGTTTCTGCCAAGAGATCTGCTGTTAGTCTGATGGGCTTCCCTTTGTGGGTAACCCAACCTTTCTCTCTGGCTGCCCCTTAACATTTTTTCCTTCATTTCAACTTTGGTAAATGTGACAATTATGTGTCTTGGGGTTGCTCTTCTCGAGGAGTATCTTTGTGGTGTTCTCTGTATTTCCTGAATTTGAATGTTGGTCTGCCTTGTTAGGTTGGGGAAGTTCTCCTGGATGATATCCTGAAGAGTGTTTTCCAGCTTGGTTCTATTCTCCCTATCACTTTCAGGTACACCAATCAAATGTAGATTTGGTCTTTTCACATATTCCCATATTTCTTGGAGGCTTTGTTCATTTCTTTTTACTCTTTTCTTCTCTAAACTTCTCACTTCATTTCATTCATTTGATCTTCAGTCACTGATACCCTTTCTTCCACTTGATCGAATCGGCTGCTGAAGCTTCTGTATGCGTCACGTAGTTCTCCTGCCATGGTTTTCAGCTCCATCAGGTCATTTAAGGTCTTCTCTACACTGTTTATTCTAATTAGCCATTCGTCTAATGTTTTTTCAAGGTTTTTAGCTTCCTTGCGATGGGTTCGAACATCCTCCTTTTGCTCGGAGAAGTTTGTTATTACCAACCTTCTGAAGCCTACTTCTGTCAAGTCGTCAAAGTTATTCTCTGTCCAGCTTTGTCCCATTGCTGGCGAGGAGCTGTGATCCTTTGGAGGAGAAGTGGTGCTCTGGTTTTTTAGAATTTTCAGCTTTTCTGCTCTGGTTTCTCCCCATCTTTGTGGTTTTATCTACCTTTGGTATCATGATGGTGACCTACAGATGGGGTTTTGGTGTAGATGTCCTTTTTGTTGATGTTGCTATTCCTTTCTGTTTTGTTAGTTTTCCTTCTAACAGGTCCCTCAGCTGCAGGTCTGTTAGAGTTTGCTAGAGGTCCACTCCAGACCCTGTTTGCCTGGGTATCACCAGCGCATGGCTGCAGAACAGCAAATGTTGCAGAACTGCAATATTGCTGCCTGATCCTTCCTCTGGAAGCTTCATCTCAGAGGGGCACCCAGCTATATGAGGTGTCAGTCGGCTCCTACTGGGAAGTGTCTCCCAGTTAGGCTACATGGAAGTCAGGGACCCTCTTGAGGAGGCAGTCTGTCCATTCTCACAGCTCAAACACCATGCTGGGAGAACCACTGCCCTCTTCAGAGCTGTCAGGGATGTTTAAGTCTGCAGAAGTTCCTGCTGCCTTTTGTTCAGCTGTGACTTTCCTCCAGAGGTGGAGTCTACAGAGGCAGGCAGGCCTTGTTGAGCTGCAGCGGGCTCCACCCAGTTCAAGCTTCCCGGTTGCTTTGTTTACCTACTCAAGTCTCAGCAATGGCGGACGCCCATACCCCTGCCAGGCTGCTGTCTCACTCGATCTCAGACTGCAGTGAGCAAGGCTCTGTGGGCTGGGACCTGCTGAGCCAGGTGTGGGATATAATCTCCTGGTGTGCTGTTTGCTAAGACTGTTGGAAAAGCACCGTATTTGGGTGGCAGTGTCCCGATTTTCCAGGTACTGTCAGTGACGGCTTCCCTTGGCTAGGAAAGGGAAATCCCCCGACCCCTTGCGCTTCCTAGGTGCAGCAATGCCCCGCCTTGCTTCGGCTCGCCCTCCGTGGGCTGCATCCACTGTCCAGCCAGTCCCAATGAGTTGAACCAGGTGCCTCAGCTAGAAATGCAGAAATCACCTGTCTTCTTTGTCGATCATGCTGGGAGCTGCAGACCGGATCTGTTCCTATTTGGCCATCTTGGAACTGTTTCCCCCAATTTTTTGTAATTTTTAATTTTGAGAAGGATCTTTCTGTTGATGCAACTGACAGTGGAGCTGCTAAGAGTATTTTGTAGGCTGTGCCAACATTTGGATAGATTTCTAATAATATTTTCAAATATGAATTTTAGTTTATATAGAGGTGATTATTCTTGGGAATCAGATTTTCTAAAAAGAATTAACTCTTCATACATATTAGTTTCATACATGTTGGAATTTAATTTTACATACAAATCTATACAATGTAATTTTAATGTTTTCTCTAGCATGTCCTGTAACATATAGAGATCATACAAGAAACCAAAAATCATTTAATGATTTGTCTGTAATTCACAGTGCCTGTTTATGCTTTCTGTGGTAGCATCTTCAATTACAAAGACAAATTAAACTTAAAAATTGTATTCCTCGTTAATAATTGGTTCATTAGAAATTGCATATGAGAATAGTGGGTGTTTTCCTATCGAATGCAACAATCCTTAATTTTTATTTCCAAGCCTGTGGATATTCGCTTTGCAGTGTTGTAGCAGTTTTTAAAACCAGAGATTCTAAACTCTTTGAAGGACTCTAATATCTCTCTGATATGCTTTATTGTAATGTCCACGTGTGTGTTTTTATTTTCTAATAATTTACTGGGATTTATATAGCCTTAATGCTAGCAGTTCCTATCCCGGTTCTCAGGCCAGAAAGATGACATTTTTGCCACAGGGGTGGGCTTGGGAAACAGACAACCCAACCTCCCACCATTGCTGCTTCTGCCATTGTCACCACCATTAATTTGGAACTAGGTTCTGGCCCCAGCTACCCCTTAGGGCCTTATGTGGTACCCCAGATTGTTTTTTTTTTTTTTTGGTTGGTTGGTTGGGTTGTTTGTTTGTTTGCTCTGTTGCCCAGGCTGGAATGCAGTGGCACAATCTCGGCTCACTGCAGCCTCCACTTCCCAGGTTCAAACGATTCTCCTGCCTCAGCCTCCTGAATAGCTGGGACTACAGGCACACACCACCATGCCCACCTAATTTTTGTATTTTTAGTAGAGACAGAGTTTCACCATGTTGTCCAGGCTGGTCTCGAACTCCTGACCTCAAGTGATCCACCCACCTTGGCCTTCCAAAGGTGGTTACAGGTGTGAACCACCTCGCCCGGCCCCTAGACTGTTTCTTTACCTCTGAGCTGCTCCACACTTACCCTTTCTGATAAGAATGCTGGACACAAGGCAGTCTTTCTTTGGAGGGATGTCTTTATAGATTTAGAATCTTTTCCCAAACTTCTAGAGAAAGTGGAAGGGGGTTAACAGGAAGGAACTAACATTTATTCAGTGCCTATTATGTATTATCAATTAATTCATTTGATCCTCACTGGAGTTTTGCTAGCCCCTTACACATGAAAAGATTGAACTGAGAGACTGAATAACTTCCCCAATATTCCACAGCTTGCAAATGGTAGAACAGAGATTTGAACCAAGTCTGTCTGTGAAGATTTTGACAGGCAGCTTTAGTGTCCTGGATGAGAGTGCTGAAGACAAACCACCTGGATTCAATTCTAGACTCTGCTGTGTAATTGCTTTCTGTTAGATGAGTTACTTCCCTGAGCTTTAATTTCCGCATGGCATGTTTATAATGGAGATGAGAGTAGTACAGTACCTACTTCATAAGGTTCTTTAGAGGGTTATAGGAAGGTTAAATATTTGTAGTGTTAGGAACAGTGCCTGACAGTAAGCCTGCAGTAAATGTCACTGTTAATATCATTACTGTTATCATGACTCCTCTTCCCACTCTACAATCTCTCTTCATAAGTTATAAAGGAATGTTAGAGGTCAGCAGAAGAGAAGAGCTTAAGGACAGGCAGCAGGGCCTAGGTTCTTCAAGTCCTTCTGGTGTTTACCTTCACAAAAGCTCCCCTAAGCAGCATCTTACACACGATGTGGTCTGTGATCTGATACTTGCCCTGGACAGCCCATTTCTGCTGGGCTTAGATTCTCATTTTCTAATAATCTGATCCTTTCCTGTCTGGGTTATATCTCTTACAGGTATGAGACATCTTTGTTGGATTTGGTTCAGTCTCTGAGCCCAAACTCTGCTCCCAAATCTCAGCGCTGTCCCTCCAGAGAAGCTGGGACCTGGAATCATGGTACTTTCCGACTCAGTCTTCCAAAATCGACCTGGAAGAAGATGGGGATGCACAGAACCCCTGAAGAGCTGGAGGAGAATCAGATTCTGGAAGATATATTTTTCATTTGACATATTGCAGAATTTTCTTAGGAAATTTGTGGGTTTCCCCACATACCAATCTAGCATTTTAAATTATTTCATTGCAAAGTAATTGTGTCTCTCTTTTCACAGGGACCTATCTCACTAGCATCCTGTTATGTATTGAATATAGAAATCATTCTAAAATCCCAGGGTGTTTTCAATCAGACCAGGCAATCGATAACACACTAAGGGGGTAGGAATGGAAGATGGTATCTTTTTTATGCTAAACAGATTAGAAAATTAACATAGGATACTTTCTGTGTGGTGGAAACCATTGCATATTCAGCCTCATTTCAAGAGTGTCTCCTTCTCATACTTCTGCTAGAAAAGGCTGACTCACTTTTATGTACAAGAAAAACCTCTCCATTGAAAGATCCCTCTAAAAGTAACCCCTTTGAAACATAAGCAGTTTCAGAAAGGCAAACCCTCACATCTTTCTCATCCTGTTCTGTCACTACTACATCTCTATAAGTGGTCCTTTAATTCTGAAGTTGGAGTTGGTGCCCCTGCCATCACAAACAACACTGACAGCCAATTGTGAGTCAGTCTCAGTAGCCATCAGCCTGGCAGCTGCCCATCCCATAACCAAAGAGCTCAATGGGCTAGAGGGTGAGACCCAGCCAATCCTTGGGAGCAAGCAGTACTAAATCATGTCAGGGAGTGATTAGCCCTGGGGAAATTCAATGGAGGCACAAGCCTGAAGCACTCTTCTACCAGTGTTCAGATGACCACCCCTCCAATATTCCAGAATGAATAAGAACAATCAGTCTCTAGGTATTTTTGTTGACTCAAGTGTTCAGCTTATTCACCCTACCTCCCACCCCCCATCACACGTGCTCCTGTGAACTTCCCATGGTTGTGTCTAGGGAAAATGCCACTAGAGAGAGAGTGACACCAGCTGCTGCAAGCTGATGGGCTTCCTCTGGCCCTCCCTTTTCCTCCATGAGGATTGAAGGATACAAGCTGACCAGGCCCCACAAGTGCTCTGCTCATGGCCCCAAAGAACCATCTCAACTTGCCAGAGTATGTTCCACCACTGGGCCTCATTTTGACCCAGAGAAAGCCTATGGAAGTTATGCAGTGCAGACCTCATCCTATCTGCTGTCTTTTCTCCCACAGAGCTCTTGAGATGGGTCCTTCAGCTTGCAGTGGTCCCTAGTAGCCTCTCAAGCTAATGGGGATGATGAGCCTGGTTTAGCCAGAGTTCAAAACGCTCCAGTCATTGAAAGCAAGGGGAGAGTGTGTTCCCAGATGTGTATTACTTGGGAATTTTATTTGATCTGGAGGGTGTGACTTTTTTTCTCTCCTTTTTACCAACCCCAACTTAAACTGGGAGCAAGACTTTGTTAGTCAGTGTTGGTAGACAAAGTCAGACCACCCAGGGCAGCCTGCATGCATTGAGTCTGTGTGGCTTCCCTGAATTATTATTTTAATTGAAACTAGATTATTTCAATCTAGAAAAGCCTTGTTAAGCAGCCTCCTTGTCCAGATAGATCCAAAGTTCATGTCTCTTCATGCTAAGCCTGGTGCTGTCACCTCCACCCAGCCTTCTTTCACTTGGGTTTTTTAATTCTTTGGAGGAGAAAAGAATGGAGCCCACCAATATTATATTTTTCTTCTGAAATAAACATAAAGTCAGGACTAACTAGTTGTAGTCATTCCCTTAAAAAGTTGGAAAACCATTACAGATTAAAATTTCCTTATAAAGCTCACCTCTGAGAGTAACCAAATCAGTTTGATCCCAAATCATAAAGCCTTTGGAGTGTGGAGCTTTCTGTGGTATGGCAGAAATGGGTGGATGGCAAACTAAGAGCCCTCAGCCATTTTTTCAGATAAAGTTAGGTTGCCAGAACTTTCTTTTCCTTGCGCCCTGTGTCATGACTAGCTTAAGTGTACCTGACTCCCATAGACTGCTCCCATGCCCACAGTCACCCATTCCGGACTCCAGTGTCCTTAAAACTCTGGAGTGAGAAGATGCCGGAGGATCAAGAAAAGGATCACAGTTTCTTTAAGAAGCTTGTTTGCCTTTGGAAAATAATAAACATAGTCTAAACTAAAGGCTTTTTGGGGATCACAGCAGCCACAGAGTGGAGTTTAATTGCTTCTTCTTGAATGGCCAATTTGGAAAAGCAGAGATGGACTTTCAACAAAGTATCAGCCAATACATTTTTCACATGCCAAACTCATCACCAGTTGCCTTTTTCTAACTTGTGGACATTTTGTTGGTGTTGGTGCAAGGGCAATAGGATGTGAATTTGTATATAATCTAATGTCTTCATTATTAATTGAATAGTACCTGTTAACATTTTAAGCGATTTAAATTTATTTTGAAATATATGCATACATATGAATGAAAGGTTGTTGCAGACCCTCAAAGCTGTTGCAGACTATCCCAAGAGAAAGGATCTGGCACAAAGGAATCTGCCTTTCCTCTCTGTCAGGTCCCCCACCCTTGACTGGTTGGGATTTGCTCATCCAGCCTCTAGACACTTCCCCAAAGCAAGACGGGACACATGCCAAGGGTGTTGTGGATAATGCCACAGCATTGCCCACCCTGCTGCCCACCTCCTGTGAAGGAAAAACCAATCAATGTTTACAAAATGGAAAAGGACACAGCATGTCCTTTGAACTCCCTAAGTAAGGCCCACAGTGCTTGATGTAGAGAACCAAAGTGAATCACAGAAAAGCTTTTGCTGACAGTCCGCTTTCCAGGAGGCAAACTTGTGTTTATTCTAACCTGATCCCCATGATGGGGACTTTTCTAGAGCACCCCAAATGTCATGGGGTGGGAGGGACTCTTTCTCCTCCCTCAGAGCCACTGTTCACTTGTCTCTGCTTCTGGCACCAAGTTCACAATAGAGATCTGCTGGCCAGAGAATCAGGGGAGAGGAGAGGCCTGATGGGGCAGAGAGACGGAGGCTGTGGCGGACTCCTTCCAACTCACAATTTATCCTCAGCTCAGAGTGTATTTTGAATGTTGGCAAATGTTTATGTACGTATGCGATTTTAAGTTAATAAATCATCTCTATGGCTATTTTCCCCATATGGGTTTGATATTGAATTGTCCCTTGAACATCCCTCATCAGATCAGTGAGGCATAGCTTGAAAGCTAGTGCAGAGCTGCAGGTTATCAAAATGTTATTTTCCTCAGTACGTGTTAAAACAGCAGGAGCCTGTGGTCGACTGAGAGAAAGGAAATGGTTTGTCACATCCCAGTAGGTTTTTCTGCTGTGGCCCCTGCTCACTCACATCACGTGGACACCAAGCCGCCTCTAGATTGTGTGCTTGTTGGAACAGAACATTCAATCTATGTGCACCTCTAAGTCTCTTCTCTGTGCCTAGCCCCATAGCTGCTCAGCAAGGAACAAATATCACAGCACTTTAAGACAAGAAAAATGGCCCTGCCTAGTTACCTTTAGTTGCTGGAAGAATGTATGTGAGGGCTTCGGTGCCTAAAATGCTCAATTCTGAGATTACACCTGTGGATTCAACTAAGACAGAGACAAAGCCAGGCTGGCACCTGCACCTGAATAAGGAGACTTCACACCTGCCCCTCCAAGGCACAGGTAGCAGGAACAGGATCATTACTCAAACAGCTCCTGAACTGAAAATGAAAATTGCTCATAGATTACTGGCAACACCATTTGGGTGTTTAGGAATCTGGAGACCCAGTCTGGAAATGAAGGGACTTCAATCAACTGTAAGATCCCCTGTAATTTGAAAAAAATACCCTGTGAATAGCCCAGACTTTCATCTGACTTTCTCATCCCTTCTTTCCACCATTGTGGTTCTCTCTTTCCTTTTATAACAAGACTTCTAAAGGGAGCAGTCTTGGATTCATTGCCCCTTAACACCTCACAAACTGGCTTTCACCCAAGCCCAGTTTAAAGAGAGGTGAGTCAAAGTCAAGTTTTTACTCTTGACTTTTCAGCACTCCTGGCCAATCAGCAACCAAAGCCCATAGACACTACTTCCTTTTTTAATTTTTTTTGGCAATAGCCTTATATTATTCAAATACTGTACAGTCTACCTATTTAAAGTGTACAGTTCAGTGGTCTTTGTATATTCACAGAGTTGCCACCATCACCACAATCAATTTTAGAAAATCAATTTTCATCACCCCAAAAAGACCCATACCCTTTAGCAGTCACCCTCCATACTGCCAGCCTTAGGCAACCATTGACTTGCTGTCTCTATACATTTGCATATCTGGACACATCATATTAATGAAACCATATTCTATGTGGTCTTCTGTGACTGGCTTCTTTCACAGCATGATGTTTTCAAGGTTCATCCATGCTGTCACATATACATGGTTCCTTTTGATTGCCAAATTAATATGGTATCATATGAATATATGACATTTTTGTTTATCCATTCGTCAGTTGATGGACATTTGGGTTGTTCCCCATTTTTTGTTGTTGTTGTTGTTATGAAGAATGCTGCTATGAAGATCCATGCAAAACTTTATTTTTGTTTTTGTTTTTGTTTTTTTGAGACAGAGTTTCACTCTTGTTGCCCAGGCTGGAGTGCAATGGCGCAATCTCAGCTCACCGCAGCCTCCACACCTCCACCTCCCAGGTTCAAGCAATTCTCCTGCCTCAGCCTCCCCAGTAGCTGGGATTACAGGCATGCACCACCACATCCAGCTAATTTTGTATTTTTATAGAGACGGGGTTTCTCCATGTTGGTCAGGCTGGTCTCGAGCTCCCGACCGCAGATGATCCGCTCACCTCAGCCTCTCATAGTGCTGGGATTACAGGCATGAGCCACCACGCCTGGGCCCATTCGAAACTTTTTTGTATGGACACTCCCTTAAACCAAAGCCTAATCCAGAGCAAAGCTCTGACTTTCTTCAATTCTGTGAAGGCTGAGAGAGATGAGGAAGTTGTAGATGAAAAGCTTGCAGCTAGCAGAGGTTTAAGGAAAGAGACCATCTCCATAATATAAAAGTATAATGTGAAACAGCAAGTGCTGATGTAGAAGCTATGGCAAGTTATTTATCCAGAAGATCTACTTAGGATCATTGATGAATGTAGCTCCACTAAACAATGGATTTTCAATGTAAATGAAACAACCTTCTGTTGGAAGAAGATGCCATTGAGGACTTCCATAATTAGAGAGGAGAAGTCAATGCCTGGCTTCAAAGCGTCAAAGGACAGACTGACTCTCTTGTTAGGGGCTAATGTAGTTAGTGACTTTAAGTTAAAGCCAGTGCTCATTTACCATTCTGAAAATCCGAGGGCTATTCAGAATGATGCTAAATCTACTCTGCCCGTGCTCTATAAAAGGAACAACAAAGCTTGTATAGCAGCACATCTGTTTACAGCATGGTGTACTGAATATTTTAAGCATACTGTTGAGGCCTACTGCTCAGATTAAAAGATTTCTTTCAAAATATGACTGTTGTTACAATGTACTTGGTCACCCAAGAGCTTTGATGAAGACTTACAAGATGAATGTTGTTTTCATGCCTCCTAACACAGCATCCATTCTGCAGCCCATGGATCAAGGAGTAATTTCAAATTTCCACATCTTATTGTTTGAGAAATACATTTTTGAGGCTATTGCTACCATAGATAATGATTTATCTGATGGATTTCTGCCACGTAAATTGAAAACCTTCTGGAAAGGATTCACCATCCTAGGTGCCATTAAGAACATCTGTGATTCATGGGAGGAGGTCAAAATAGCAAGATTAACAGGAGTTTGGAAGAAGTTGATTCTAATCCTCATGGATGACTTTGAGGGATTCAAGACTTTAATGAAGGAGGTCACTGCAGATGTGGTGGAAATAGCAAGAGAACTAGAATTAGAAGTGAAGCTAAAGATATGACTGAATTGCTGCAATCTCATGATAAAACTTGAACGGATGAGGAGCTGGTTCTTCTGGATGAGCAAAGAAAGTGGTTTCTTGAGATGGAATCTACTTCTGGTGAAGATGCTGTGAACATAATTGAAATGACAACAAAGGACTTAGAATATTATATAAATTTAATAAAGCAGCATCAGGGTTTGAGGGAATTGATTCCAATTTTGAAAGATGTTCTACAGTGGGTAAAATGCTATCCAATAGCATCACATGCTGCAGATAAATTTTCATGAGAGGAAGGGTCAATTATGTGCCAAACTTCATTGTTGTCTTATTTTAAGAAATTGCTACAGCCACACTGATCAGCAACCCACGCTGATCAGTCAGTAGCCATCAACATCAAGGCAAGACCCTCCATGAGCCAAAAGAGATTACAACCCCCAGCCAGGCATGGTGGCTCATGCCTGTAATCCCAGCACTTTGAGAGGCCAAGGCGGGTGGATCACCTGAGGTCAGGAGTTCAAGACCAGCCTGGCCAACATGGCGAAACCCCATCTCTACTAAAAAATACAAAAATCAACTGGGTGCGGTGGCAGGCACCTGTAATCCCAGCTACTCAGGAGGCTGAGGCAGGAGAATCTCTTGAACCCGGGAGGCGGAAGTTGCAGTGAGCTGAGATTGCACCATTGCACTCCAGCCTGGGAGACAGAGCAAGATTCCATCTCAGAAAAAAAAAAAAAAAAAAAAAAAAGATTACAACCCACTGAAGGCTCAGATGATCCTTAGCAATAAAGTATTTTAAGTTAATATGTGTTGATTGTTTTTAGTCACAATTCAGTTGCACACTACAGTGGACTACAGTTGCGTGAACATAACTTTTATATGCACTGGGAAACAAAAAATGTGTGTGACTCCCTTTGTTGTGATATATGCTTTATAGTGGCAATCTGGAACTAGCCCCACAATATGTCTGAGGTATGCCTGTATGTCTTTGTGGGGTAATGACCTGGAACTGATAGAGTTAGGAAAGAAGGATGAACACCCAGACCCTGTGGGAGGAGGAGAGGAATCCAGAATGTTGAGCATGTAGAGTGGAGACCGGTGGGTGGCAGGCAAGCATCGAAGACTCCTGAAGCACTTAACTGTGCGCCAGATCCTCAGCTGGGCCCTGTGCGACATCTTATTCAGTCCTTATGAGACAAAGCCTTTTTTCATAGTTTTCAAAATCATCCCATTATATGGGTTATTCTTGTAAGCTACATCATATCCTTTATGTAATGAGGCCAGGTATACATGTATGCACACCTAAAACTTGAGGGTGATTTTTTGCACCAATAATGAATATGAAGTTTAGCAAAACTTGCCAAGGTCACCAACTAGAAATAGAATTTAAACTCAGAAACTGGGGTGGGAGGGTCATTTTTTACTTCTTCCCCTCTCTTTCCTATTTCTAGTCAATGTTCAAGAAGTATCACGTCCGTCCGAGCACGGTGGCTTACACTTGTAATCCCAGACTTTTGGGAGGCTGAGGCGGCCAGATCATGAGGTGAGGAAATCGAGACCATCCTGGCTAACACGGTGAAACCCCATCTCTGTATTTTGTATTTGTAAAAATACAAAAACCTGGGCATGGTGGCACGTGCCTGTAGTCCTGTCTACTCAGGAGGCTGAGGCAGGAGAATCACTTGAACCCAGGAGGCAGAGGTTGCAGTGAGCCAAGATCGTGCCACTGCACTCCAGCCTGGGTGACAGAGCAAGACTCCATCTCAAAAAAAAAAAAGTATCAAGTTCACTTCCTATTTTTAAACTTACCCACTTCTCTCTTATCTTTGCTGATGCTTCTCTAGTACAACAGTTTCTTTATTGGTCTTCCTGCTGGATGGCCTGGATTCATCCTAGAACATTTGACTCTCTCTGCCTGGCTCATCTTTAAATGGGGGTCACAACAGAACCTACCTCATAAAGTTATTGTGAAGGTTAAATGAGCTAACCCAGGTAGAGTGTTCACCATAGGATATAATAAGCACTCAGTAAGGGTAACCTATTATTCTCCATAAAGCTACCCATATCATGTCACACCCTGGCCTAAAGCATTAGTTAGTTTCCCACTGCCCTCTGTGTTTGTACCTCTGCACAAGGCTGTTGGTGATATGACCCACTGCAGCCTTTAGACCTCCACCCCCTTCTTTTCCTACTCTATTCCTCTTGACTTCCATGCTTCAGCCACCCTGAGCTTCCGGTAGTTCCTAAAGGCACTGTAATATCCTTTTCCTGACCTTAGGAGCTTTCTCAGCCCTCTGTACATGTTTTATCACAATTCTTACTGTGCTGGAATGGCCTGTTTACTTTTGTGATTTCTCCTTCAGTCTGTAGGCCCCAGGATGGCCAGAAAAAGATCAGTCTTACTCATGACTAATTCCTCAGATTTCAGCATGGCTCCTGGCACGTTATAGGCTCCCAAACATTATTTATCGAATAGGTGGATGGGTAGGCACATAGGAGGGAGGAAGAAAATATAACAATTCTGTGACCCCAAAGTCCGGTACCCTTTGGACTACTCCTGCCTGCCGCCTTGCAGCTCTCTAAAGAAAGTGGAAAGTAGGGGCCATACTCAGAGGACTGGGGAGGGTGGGGCTGGGAGATACCTCCATTGCTCCCTCTTCAGTCCCATCTCCACATTCACTAGCATTTTCTTTCTTACAAATCTAAGATTTGTAACTTGGCTGCTTAAAACTCCACAAGTCCCCCACTGCTTACAGGAAACGAGTGTACCCCTTAGAGTGGCACGCCGGAACTCTCAGCCTCTTGCCCTCCCTTCTCCCCTCTGCAGCTCTCAGCCCTTGGCCATCTCCCAAGGACACACTGCTGTTTCCCGCCTATGTGACTTTTCCAGGTCCCTCTCTCTCGGGTGAATCTTTCCAGACCTAGCTCAGTTATCATCACTTCCATGGAAGTTTCCTAATCTCTCCGGCATCAGTATATACTCTTGGCTCCCATAGAACTCTGTAGAGCCTTTGTTATAGCCCACCTCAATCTGTCCCATATTGCTGTGTGCACTGTTTGTCTGCCCTATTAGAATGTAAAGTGTTCAAAGAGAACATATATTCACTTTGGAGAACCCAACCTTACCACTTGTGAGCTGTGTAGATTTTGGCAAGTTGCCTATATTCTCTAAGCCTTGTGTATAATAATGCATAAAAATATTTGTTAAGATGAGAAGTGACCATTTCTACCTTACAGGTTTGGTGCCTGGAATGCTGATGTAGACCTAGAAACTAGCCCAGATGAAAACAAGAATGATGAGGCCACAGTGTCCATGAAAGTAGGGCAAGGCAGGGTGTCCAGTGGAGCCTGAGGGAGTACCAAGAGGGAGGTCCTTGGAACACGGAGGAACCAGAAGGCCCAGGAGTAGGAAGCAGTGTTGGTGTTTGTAAGGAAGTAGAAGAGGTGGTTGGCCAGAGGACAGGCCCTGTTCGAGATCTAACCAGGACATCAGAGCTGGCCTCTTCCTCCCTTCTTCCTTGCAGGCCACAGCCAAGCAGCCTTAACTGACACCTCCTTGGCACCAGCACACAAACAATGGCCCATAGCCTGACTTCTGCCAGGATGCCCGAGGCCCGTGCCCTTCACCTGTTCTGCACCTATAAGATTGGTGTTTGCCCTCTTTGATTCTTCCAGGTGCTGCCCCACCCTGTTCTTCTCCCCATTCTTTAAGTGCTGAGATTGGCCAGTCCCGTGCTGAGATGAGGGAGCCGGAGGAAGGGAGACTGACTGTCACTCCTCACTGCTGTCCATTGGGATGGGATGAACTTCACAGCTCCAGTTTCCTGTGTTCTCTCAGCTGCAGGTGATTTAAGCTTGTTGGATTTATATAACATTGGGAAATGGTAAACTGTGTAAATTTGCTATGTTTTCCAGGGACCGTTATTTATGGAAGGGCATTTTTAACTCAAGTGCTAGAAGTGTTAAATCATTATAATAAATTCATGCTATTCAGACTTTCTTACATTGTAATAAATTTTTTCTAAGCATGAATGAGAAGATCCATGGTTCTTCTAATATACCATTATGTATTTCTTCTCAAAATGACACAGCTTACTACAAGTTGGAGAATAATAGAATGAGATTTACTGTGTTGGAGGGAAAAAAAAAGCAGTTGAGCAGCGATGAGTCAGAGAAAGGACTTGGGAGCAGTGATCACAAGCAGAACTTCTCCCTGCCTCTCTGCTTGCTTCTTAGCCAGGTGGAAGGAATAGACATTGAGTGGTTGCATCCTCTCAGTCTCCCACCTGAGCTTAGGGACAGGCTTTGTGCACAGAAATGGGGCATCCTAGTGGCCCTCTGCGCTGTCCTGTCCAGGGGCAGGTGTGGGAGTGGGGCTCTGTTGGAAAGAGAAGCTGTCTTTCCGCATGGTATCAAAGCCCTGCCAGGAACATCAGTCTGGGCAGAGAGCTGCGCTGCATATAGCACCCTCTCCTCACCTCAGTCTTCACCTGAGAGCTCACCTGGATCCGAAGATTCATAGCTTCCACCAGATTCTCAAAGGGATCTGTGATCCAAAAAAAAATTCAGGAATCACTGGTCTTAGGTGAATTCTGAAGCATTTTCTGACTGTCCACTATGTGCTAGCCAAAGTTCAGCAACATAGCTCCAGACTTCCAGCAGAGGACAGGGCAGTGAGGCGGAAGGTCAAGTTGAGCTGCAATTAAGAGTTCCCTGAGGTCAGTGCAGTCACAGAGCCCTGAACAGTAACCTCTGGGTCAGGGTCTTCCATCAGAATTTTCCCAAGCAGAGGAGCACTGTGTTCAAAGCCATGGAGAAAAGAACCCCAAGGTAGTAAGCTCATGGACAGCCTTGAATGCTAGGCTTGGTGTTTAAACTTGGAGGAGCAGCAAGGCTCATGCTTGCATAGGCCCATGAGACCTGCATAGACTGCAGTCCTTGGCAACAGTTTACTTAGTGTTCCGTCAGAGGCTTAGGTTTAAGTTCTTTCCCTGTAGCTGTGTGACATTGCACAAGTCCCATCACCACTCAGTGCCTCTGTCTACAAAACATAGATAGCACATGTATGCATGCCTGCCTTGCCTGGCACAGTATCTATGGGGATCTGATGAAAGGATGCTCATGCACCTGCTGAGTAAACAACTGCAAACCTCTTTATACATATCAGGTGGCTATAATTTATCTGGAGACTGGCAAGGAGCAGTGGGCCCCTCTGAAGCGTGGAGAGTGGGGGATTCCGTGATAGCCAGGCAGAGCTGGGAAGCTGGTCCTGCCAGCTCCCAACCATTGCTGCCTCCTGCACTTGTCACCACCTCAGGCAGCGCCTCCAGCAGGGCACCCCACTGCCACACTTGCCCGGGTTTGAGAATGTCATTTACCTCTGTTTCTCCCATCAGCCTAGAACCTCATCCCCCATATAAGGTCCTGGCTTCTTAAGACGCCTCTGCCTCAATGGCCCTGGCTCTCCAGATCTCAGCCTTGAGGAGTGTCAGCATTAGGCAGAGCTGAGAGCCGTTCCAGAGTTGGGACCTCAGTTGTGGTCCACATAGCCATCTGCCTCCATGAGGGGTGCCTATGGGTAACTTCTGCCCTTCTTTCTTATGCTCCCCACCCCAGCCTCCATCCTCCACCTCTAGTATTTCTAAATCTGTCCCTTTCTTCAGAACTGAACAACTAGTGATATTATTTTCTTGTTTGGCCAGTCAGGCTGCTTCTGGGGATGGGGTGGGAAGGGCATCCCCACTTGTTTCTGAGCCATGGCTAGTGTTTTTTACTGGGCTGGAGGAGAAACCATGGTGGCCTGATCATGCTGCTGGGACTGCTGAGGTTGCAAGCTTCCCATGTCTATGTTTGGGGCTTTCTCCTTTCATGTTACCCAGCACATTGTCTAAGGAAGGAAGCGGGTGGGGACTGGTCTCTGCAATGACCACTCTCCCCAGGCTGACCCAGCTAATGTTCACACCAGCCATTTTTTTTTCACACATTTTATTTTGAAGTCAGACTTACAGAGAAGTTTTAGAAATAATACAAAGAATTATTTTATACCCTTTACTCATATTCCCCAAGTGTTAACATTTAACTTGTTTGGGTTATCATACACTCTCTCACACACATATACATACTGTATTATTACTTTTTTCTGGAAACATTTGAGAGTAAATTGCTGACCTAATACCCTTATTTCCCCAAAGGGTTCAGCATGTATTTCCTAAACAAGGACAGCCTCTTTTATAACCACAGTACAGGTATCAAAATTAAGAAATTAATGCTGACACAGTACCTGATCTTATTTAAATGTTGCCAGTTGTTGAACTAATATCCTTTGTAACCAAAAACAAAAAAAAAAAAAAAGAAATTCTGGCCCAGGATCACAAATTGCATTTAGTTGTCTTGTCTCTTTAAATGAGCACAAGCCATTTACTTCATAGAACATTTTGGGTTTGCCTTGTTTCCTTATGATTAGATTCCGGTTATGCATTCTCAGCAAGAATAAGTGATACGGTCTCCTTTTGAGCACATCTGACCAGGAGGCCCATGATAGCATTTGTTACATGTTACATTCCAGATGACACTAACTTTGATCACCTGGTTAAGGTAGTATCTGCCAGGTTTCTCCTTATATAATAAAAGTACTAACTTTCCCTTTGTAATGTGTAAGTATCTTGTGGGGGTATACTTTGAGGCTATATAAATATTGTTTCTCATACCTTTTTTTACCCACTTGTTTTTATCACCCATTGATGTTTCAGCACATTGCATTTAAATCCTTAGTCTTCTACTTTGCCCCTGCCTACTCTCTTTGACCACCAGTCCACTGCTAGGAGAGAGACTGGAAACAGACCATTTACTTCTGATCCTCGGGGCCATTAGCTAGGGCAATGACTACATACAGAACAACACACAACAGCATGGGAACAAGAGCCCAGTGAAGTGGTTCCCACTCAGGGCACTAGAAAGTCAGAAAACAGGTGCTCAGTTTCCAATAGACCCCCTGGAGCAGGTGGACCCCAGACTAGGACTTAAGGACAGGAAGAATTTGGATGACCGGAAATCTGGAATGGCATGAGAATCTGTGTCCATATGCCATATTTGAGGGCCCCAGTGAGACTCTGCCCCGAATGCCTGTCATCCCAGGAGCTCCCAGAGTACTGGGAAGACCTGAACCACCAGGCTTTCTTTTGATCCCTGTTCAGAGTTGGGACAATATGGGGCAGAGAGGCCCTGCAAAGAGTGGGCCAGGCCTAGGGTGCTTCAGAAGAGGCCTGTAGAAGGCATCCCCCCCTCCACTCCCCACCTCTTCTCATTCATTCAGCAAACACTGGCGCATATCCCATGCCAGGTATTGAAGTCAATGCTGAAGACACACAATACTCTCAAAGGGGATGCTTTGAGCCCAGAGATTCTTAAGGTCACTCAGCGCTGAGGGCAAGGCAGGAGCTATCTTCTGCCCAGAATCAAGAGCAGAATACAGTGGAGGATAAAACCCTGTGCCAAGCTCCCTCATTCTAGGCTGACTCTCATGTCCAGAGCAAGGATGAGGGCACTCACGGTCACACATCTCCTCTGACCTCTCTTCGCCAGTGCCCTTTCTCAGCACTTGGCAGAGAGCTTCAGGCACACTGAAGTGGGGCCAAATCCCTGAGACCCAGGCTGCCTGCTCACTTTGCAGAGGAGGGATCTGAGGCCAGAGAGGTCTGAGCCTTTCCAAGACAGGCCTGACTCCACTTTTCTGCCCTGTGGATAGGCTGTGTGTCTCTGTTTGAGGCTTGGAAACACAATCAGCAAAGAGGCTTTTGAGGCAAGAGCCATTATGCACGTGCCTTGAATAGGTAGCTTCTTCCAATGTAATATGAAGATTACATACACAGCATCTGCCATAAGGGAGACCTGGGTTCAAATCCCAGTTCTGGGGTTCATGTGACTTTCATACAGCATATAAACTTGTCTGTAAAATAGGGCCCAGGATTGCTGGGAAGATTAACTGGAATGGTGTCCCTGAAGTAGCCAGGACAGTGTCTAGATGGTAAGTAGATTGTCTTGAAACAAGGCCTCGTGTCTTCCCCCAGCATATTCCCAGCCTACCTAAGACATCTTGCAGTTCTTCAGAAGGTCTGGGGTCCTTTGTTCCTCCATGACCCCTCCCGTGGAGTCCACGTAACACCCGCGCACTCTACAAAACCTGACCCAGGTGTCTCCACTCTCCCAGACAGGGCCACTTGCCTTCCGTCCTCCGGGCTGTCCTGGGCCCCCAACACAGTTCCCACACGCTAGTGTGCAGTTGTCTTTTGCTTGTCAGGGAACCTCATGGGGAAATTAGCGCAGCTGATTTTGAATCCTGGCTCCATTACTTTCTTACAGTGTGGTTTGGGGCAAGTTACCTACCTTATCCAAGTCTGTTTGTTCATCTGTAAGGTAGGGTGATAGCACCTTGCAGCATTACAGGATTAGAGATAATACCCATAACATACCTCACACTGGGCCTGGAAGGTGCCCAGTGTGTGCTGTCTTCATCTCTTCACCTCTAATCCTTAGTGCAGTGCTGTGCTCGGTAGGTACACTACAAATATTGGTTCAGCAGGTTAGGGAACAAATTACTCCCCATGCCAAAGTAGTTTTCATTTTAAAAGCAGAACTAATGAGGCCTAGGTCTAACCCAAAGAAAAAGGCCTAACAATGGGATCTGAGTCCCTGTGTAGGACTGGAGTGCAGTGAGAAGCCTGGGGCACGTGTGTGGGATCTCCTTAGCAGAAGCCCACATCCTGCCCATGGAGGGCAAAAATGACCCACAGTTGTCCTGCTCCTGACGCCCCTCCTTGGTTTCCATGAGGAAAGCAGGAAATGGAAGGGAAACAAGGTTGACAGCCCCTGGGTCCACTGGATTTCCTGCCATCCCAATGCCCATGGCTCCCTGAGCTGGGCCCCAGGAATAGGTAAGGACAGAGTGGCAACAGCAACAATGAATCATGCTGGAGACCCTGAAGACAAGAGGCATCTCTGTGCCTCAATTAGTGAAGTATGGGGCCTTCACAAATGGCTGAATTTTCCCCTTTATTTTAAAAAGCCTAATTTTTAAACATTATTTATTTATTTATTTATTTATTTATTTTTATTTTTGAGATGGAGTCTCACTCTGTCTCCAGGCTGGAGTGCAGTGGCACAGTCTCTGCTCACTGCAACCTCCATCTCCCAGGTTCAAGCGATTCTCCTGCCTCAGTCTCTCGAGTAGCTGGGATGGGAGGCTGGCATTTTTCTGGCATGTGCCACCACGCCCGGCTAATTTTTTGTACTTTAGTAGAGATGGGTTTCACTGTGTTAGCCAGGATGGTCTCGATCTCCTGACCTTGTGATCCTCCCACCTCGGCCTCCCAAAGTGCTGGGATTACAGGCGTGAGCCACCACACCCTGCCAATAAGCTTAATTTTTTTATAAGCAAATTCTTAAGATTAGTGCAAACCCAGTTGAGCACCCCCAAGCAAGTTCTTAAGATCAGTGCAAACCCAGTTGAGCACCCCCAGTTTGCACTGATCTTAAGAATTTGCTTATCATTTTCTCCGGAGTTAAGTGTACTGGGGGAAATGACTGACACAGCTCAAAAGGCCTTTGAACTTCAGGTAGCTCCATAAAATGTTAATAAATATTATATTTCTTTCAATTTAATTTTCTCTCCTTGTTAATAATAAAAGCCCCCATCTGTCCCTATAACCAGCAAGTGCTACAAGGGAGGGGGACTTATACACCCATTAGCAACATGTTTACTAACTTGTTACTCACCTTTAAGAACTCCAGCTCTATCAAGGAGAGAAGGGAAGAAAAGGATTGGTACCTAGATCAATGTAGATGCTGCCATTTCTTAAAGGTGAAATTGGGGTTGTTGAGAAAAAAAAGTCAGAATAAAGAAGGTAGTAGGAGGCAGGAGAGAAGGGCTGGAGGGGAGTGACTGTGCAGAGTTTACAACTGAGGGAGATGTGATGTAGAGATCAAGGGCACAGCCATGCAGATAGACCTGGACTTGAACGCTGATTCTAGGTAATTTAGGTGAGGGACTTAACCTCTCTGAGCCTCAGTTTTTGCATCTGTAAATTAGGGTAATAACATCTGCATCATAGAATTATTGTGAGAATTCGATGAGATTATAACTAAGCAGTTCTTAACGTAGTGGCTAGTACAGAGCAGCACCCCATAAAAGACAGCTATCCCCGTGCCTCAATGAATGATGCCCAAATGGTAAGAGGTGACTGGACGGCCCTGATGTGTCTGTTCAGCCAGTGGGTCCCAAGCATCCCAAGGCCTGGGCTTACCTCTTGGGAGTCACATGGGGCAGCTACAGGAGCCTGGGCACATCACTGCCTGGCTCTGGGTCTCCTCAGTGGAAATGAGAATGACAGCTGAGTTCCTTCCACCTATACACTCCAGGCCCACACTTAAAGAGCAGGGTGAACAAGAACTGGCAACACTGGCTGCTGCTAGGGAGAGAAATGGATGACTGGATTCAGGGGTGGGAAGAACTTCATTGTTTCCTTTTTCCTGTGTTTTGAATTTTGAAATATATGAATATATTTTTCAAAAAAAATAGATAAAAATTTTTAAAATGCAAAGACCAAATTAGTATGCAGCCTGAGGCCATGTGAGCCCAGAGGAGGAAGGCTGCAGACAGCAGCAGCCACAGTTGCATTGGGAATGCTCTTGGGAAAGGAAAGGGCAAAGAGAGCAGCAGGGGCACAGCAATGTCAGCTAATTGGGGTCCCTGGAAAAGAGCAGTGAGAGGCAGAGGTGTGTGCACCTCAGCATGACAGGAATTTTCTGGAGTAGCATAGATTGACTGGACTTCACAAAAAAATGACCTAAAGTGGTCTCGTGTCAAGTTCAAGTTTGCTTTTGTTGGGAGGTGGATTGTCAATAGAATGGAATTAAGAAAAGGGAAGAAGGATGGGATTGCAGCCTGAGCCATTCGTTCTGAGTGTCTGTGCTGTAAGAAATTTGCCACTCTGATAATCCTTGGGGTGGAATGTAGCTGAGTGTGGCTGTCTCTTGTTCACTCCTCAACACTCTTGGGGGTGGTATTATCCCCATTTTAGAGATAAGGAAATTGAGGCTCAGAGAGGTTAAGCAATGTTTCCAAAGTGACACAGAAGGTATTAGAGAGAACTGTGATTTGAATCCTGGTCTGAAGTCAAAGTCCATGCCTTTTTCACTCTGATACCCTAATCTTTCCATCCCCCTCCTAGTCTGGGAAAGTCTTGGTTAGAGCTCCACAAAGGGCAGAAGCAGAGATGGAGACGCTCAGAGTTTCCTGAAGAGGCAAACAGTTAGGCTGGCAGGAGGAGGGAGAAAGGGTGATATAGAGGGCCCTGGGGAGCTGGTGCTGGCTCTCCAGGCTTTCACTCTGTCACTAGCAAGTCCCAGGACACCTGGGAATGTTGGAGACCAGAGACTGGCAGTAACTAAGGGGAGGACTTGAGGAGAGAAGGGAGGGCAGCTTAGAGAAATGGAGGGTCAGTAGGGGGAGGAAACTAGAAAGTTAAAATAAAAATCTTATATTTGCAAGCATTCATCTAGGGATGGGAGGGTGTGTTGACTATACACTTTTTCCACATGCTATCACTACTTAAAGAGCATTTCCAGAACACCTGCCTCTTTGGGACATGCCTTCAGCCGTCAGTAATTTGTCCATTCCTTCCTTTCTTATTCACTCATTAATGCAGGAATGAATCAATATTGACTGAATATCCAACTGCCAGAACTCACTAGTCTGTTGAAGGTAGTACGTCAACAGTAGCTAATAATTTTGATCTGGGGGTGGGTTCCATTTCGGTAAATAGTCAAATAGCATTCACAGCCAAGTCTGATGCTGTCACTTTGCGCTGGGCCCCTTAAGCTCACTGCCATATTGTGCCTTATCCACTCTACCAAGTGGGCAAGCAAGGTGGGGAATGTTCATCTGTGTTTTACCCGCTGTAATTCAAACACTAGCCCTGCAGACCCTGTGCTATGGGGATCTGCAGCTTTGCCCAGAAGAGCAGCAGCAGTCCTGGAGGATGGAGGTCCTGGCAGTGCTTGCATGAGTGGGGAAGCTCTAGTATGTCTTGTGTTTCTCTCCGTGCTTAGTATGAGGGACGGGGGTGTAATCCTGCTCAGAACAGGAAAAAGGTCAGATCTTTAGGAAAACACCGAGGGAGATGGAAACGTTAAATGAAAGGTCTCAATAAACATAACTTTTTCATACTAGCATCACAGATAGGAAGATAGAAGGAGGAAAAGAAAGAGAAAAGAGAGAGAAGCTGTGACTACAAAGGTGTGGAGAAAGAGCTGGAAGGGTTTTGAAAGTGCTGCTGGGAACAGGTGCAGTTGCCCTGGGGAGGTGCTGGAGAGGGGGCTGGGGCTCCCACCAGGAGCCAGTTCCACCCCAGGATAAGGCCCTGGTGAGGCTATGAAAGCCAAGTTCCCCAGGGGCTGCCACAGCAAGGTTACAGCTGCCCAGCAGGCCAGAGCCAGCTGGCAGACATCAGTGCAGCATGGAAAACATTAAGGGGAAATGGAGGTATTTAGCAATGAAATGACTTGATACCTGGGATTTTTGTCAAACTAATTGTGAGTTGAGGTATGCTGAAGCTGGGTAGTGAGTACATGGGGATTTTTTTTTTTTTTTTTTTTTTTGTTTTTGGAGACAGAGTCTCACTCTGTCTCCCAGAATGGAGTGCAGTGGCGCGATCTCAGCTCACTGCAAGCTCCGCCTCCTGGGTTCACGCCATTCTTCTGCCTCAGCCTCCCGATTAGCTGGGACTACAGGCGCCCGCCACCGCGCCCGGCTAATTTTTTTAAGTTTTTAGTAGAGACAGGGTTTCACCGTGTTAGCCAGGATGGTCTTGATCTCCTGACCTCGTGATCCACCCGCCTCGGCCTCCCAAAGTGCTGGGATTACAGGCGTGAGCCACTGCGCCCGGCCCTACATGGGGATTCTTTATGCAAGTGTCTCTACTCTTGATTATTATGCTTGAAATAAGTTTTTAATAATAAGCAAAAGGTCTTTTACAAATAGGGGTGCTATGAAGGAACCACACACTGCAGATAGGATAACAGCAAAGGAATATAAGCCATAGAATAGAAGCAGAAATGAACAAGAATTTTGTCTTGGGTTCTCTTAACTAACACTGCAAATCAGGAGTTCTTAACCAGAGCTCTGCTCTCCGTACTCTCCTTCAGGGATCCCTGAGCTCTCCATAATCATGTGCAAAGTGATCTAATAGTTTTCAGCAAGTTTTCAAGGATCTCTTTCCCCCAGAGGTTAATAAATTGTGTTCTCTCTTAAGTGTGCTATGCATGTATCAGAAACCTGGTGCGCGGTTTTTACATTGAAGGTTTCTTTTACAGAACTGGAATGTTCATCTCTGGTTCCAGTGTTTTCAGCCCCCCTCTCAGTCAGCCATACCCAGAAGACAGCAAAATTGCCTGGCTGGTTTCACAGCCCATCTCTGGTGACAGCTCCCAGGGTGCCTACAGTCGTTAGCCACAACACCTTCAGTGGAGGTAGGGGAGGACTATGTCCCAGAGACAATGGTATGCAGTGGGGAGGTGGACACAAACAGGAGAGGTCTAGGAAGGTCACTTGGGGATCTCTGGGAGGCTTCATGGGGTCTGAAAGAGTAAGAAGGGGTGCTGGGGGTTGAGGTTGTCCTCTTTCAGCTGCAGGTATGCAACAGAAATCACCGTGTTGACTAGTCTGAGGCTCAAAACCTAAAGACACCTCCCCATTCCCCAGAGAATTTCTTAGAAAACACCTTCCATTCTTCTCAGGGCAGAATAATACCCAGTCTGACATCTAGCCCCTTTAAGCTAATTCTTCCAAGAAGTGCAGCTCTCTAGAATGGACAGAGCAGGCTGTCACTTGGACTGGCAGCCCTGTTGAGCAGCAAAGGGGGGTTAGTTTAGGAGACATTCAGGGTCTCCTCAGTCCTTCTCTCTTGGAACCATGTCCACATTTAGGTCAAGACTTGAAGGCCTTCCCTTATTTGCTGATACATGAACATCTTTCTCTCCAGCCTAATGCATCACAGGCCAGCATCAGAAGCACAGACTTAGCCCCTGGCCCTGAGAAGAGAGATGGGAGGAGAGGATGGAGCATGGGGTCCAGGCACTGCTCTGTAGCTGGGGCTCTGAGCTCTGCTCTCTATACCCTCCTTCAGAGGAGACAGGTGGGGACTGAAGCGACTTCCCCATCTCCCACAGGGGGGCACAGACTGACAGGCAGTCAACGACCCTTGTTTCCAGGGGCTTATCTTCTCTCCTCCAGGCATCTGAAGCCTTGCAGCTTCCCTGCCCCTCATTTGGCAGTCCTCCTGTCTCAGCAGTGGGGAGAGGTGGAGGCCCTGGGAGAGAGTCTGCCTATTCCTAGACCAGACTACGGGGCTGAGGGCAGGAGAAGGGAAGGAGGTGGGAGAGCAAAGATTGAGAAGAAGGTCTGTCCCAGGCCAGGACTGGGTGAAGGCATGCAGCTGGTGTGCAGCTGTCTGGGCTCTCCTCTCCAGACGCCTGCCACCCCTCTCCAAGTCCTGCATGGTGTCCTTCCTCCTTTGGAATGCTCTAATGCTCTTCCTTCCCACCCTGGCATTCAGGGTCTGGAAACCTCTCTGCAGCTCATATCTAAGTGTAGGACAGGCAGCATGCCAGGAAACACCCAGCAGAGGGCCCCTACTCTTCTTTCTATACCCCTGCCTCCACCAGGACCCTGACTGAGGGCCCAGAATCCAGTTTTCTCCATCCCTGCAAACTGCCAAAGCAGCGGGAGGTGTGAGGTCAAGAGCAAGATGCTTGCTGGTAAATTTGGAGTTGCATCCTCATCCTTCTTCCTTTATTGTGGCCACTTTCCTCCACTGCCTCCTTCCCTAAGGTGTCACATAACTTCCCCCCAACCCAACACTTGCTCGGCCTTCAGGTCGGGTGGCCTCGGTGACCTCCTTTCTGTTCTGCTTGGACACTGTGGTCACCTCTTCCAGGAACCCAGAAGAATGAATTTGCAATGGGGACTTTCAGAGACACACACTAGTCCAGAGAGATTCTTCCTACAGTGGAACAGGACCTCCTTTTATTGTTCCCATCACCTCCCAGAAAGAGCTTCACATGCTGAAACTCAGAACGAGGGCCTGTGTTGCAGATTCCATAAAGAAGACCAAAGGTACTTCCAGCGGGCAAGCCTTGGGGCTGTGAGGCACAGCTGGCCAGAGTCCAAGAGGCACAGACCAATGAAGAAATCTTTTTTTTTAAACTGTGCTTTATTTAGGGCTAAGCTGGAGAAAGCGTCATCCAATAGTTACAGAAGGTTACAAGGAGTTTTAGGGAGTTGAGTGTGAAAAGAGCAGTTGTACTGAACTGCAGCTGTTTTCTTTTTTTTTCTTTTTTTTTTTCTTTTTTGTTTTTTGTTTTTTTTTACATCTGGACATCCTAAAAGGAGGAGTCAAGAGAAAAAAAGAAAATGAAAAACAACAACAACAACAAAATTGACAGAAAGAAAGGAAAGGCAGGAGGCCCTAGAGGAACTGGAAATTTGTTGTTCTAAAGGGAAACAATGGTAGGTCTGAGAACCCCCGGCCTCCAGATGACCTGGACATCAATGTGAAGGAATCGAGGCAGAATGCCAAAGCAATCTTCCCAAGGGTGCAAATAAATTATAATAAATATGTTATACTTTAAAATATATGTGTTCTTAAATAATTCAGTGTTTTTTCTGATTCTGAGTTTTTTAAGCAATGTCTTTAACTGCTCTAAAGTCATTTACCAAAGATAAATATCGTGCTTTCATTAAATAGTTTTCCTTGTTTTTTTCTCTATCATTACAATTAAAAGTCCTACAAAATATGCAAATTTATTTACAGAAAAACAGAGCCGGCATCATTTAAACATCCCTGTTTTTCAAAATTCCTTGTAAACAGTTTCAGAAATTCTTCAAAGATTGTTTATTTTTCTCTCTCTTTTTTAAGGTTTTGTGTGTGTGTGTGTTGTCTAGTCGTTTTAAGATGAAAGTTCCCAGTTCTCCCTTGCCCGGAAAGTCTCTGGAGCAAGCGTGGAAGGCGAGTGAAGCGGAAGGTGAGTGAAGCGCGCGCAGCTCCCGGAGGGAAGCAAGAGGCGAGGACGGCGGCGGCGGCGACGACCCGGGCAACGCGACCGTTCCCCGGCCGATGGCGTGGCCTCCACTGGCGACAGGCAGCCAGACGCCCGCAGGTGTGGGGCAAGTTCGGCCTGGCCCTTGGGGACAACGGCGTCCGACAGCACTCGCGGGGAGAAGGGATTGATGCTCTGTCTAAACTCTACAAAAGTACAGTCCTACAACATCTGGGATTTTAGCAGTAATGCTAACTTCTATAGGTTTTTTTTTTTATTTTTTTTATTTTTTATTTTTTGCTTTCCTCTAATTTTTCTTCTATTATATAGGTATTTTAAACTTTTCCTTTTTAAAATTCTGTACAACTATTAGGATTTTAAGAGGGGGAAGAGTTAGAAGCATTTACAGACTTTTCACAACAATGACCTTGCTTGGTAAGTCCCGTTTGTCCCCTCTTTGTTTTCTCACACTCCACGGTTAATGAGTTTTAAGATTTGTGTTGCTTTCCCCAAATATCCACCAATTTGTTCATCTTAACAGCTCCATCCAGACATAGAATACAGAAAACCATAGGAAAGTGTCAGACTTGGATGAGGGTCATCAAAGCGCCTCTCAAAGTATCAAAGAACTATTATCTTGCTGTTTTAAAAGCACTGAAGCGTTATATTTCCTTTTTTTTGTTGTTGTTTTTTTGTTGTTGTTTTTTGTGTTTTTTTTTTTAATTTTTTATTACATTTTTTCATAGAATCGCTCTAAGCTGTTTCAAGAACAGCCATGAGGCAGGAAGGAGGGGGTCCTCCATTCCCCCTCTATTTGACATAGAGCTACACATCTGCAATAAAAAGTTTGGTCCTTTGGTCCCTAAATAGCTAAAGGAATGACAGATAAAGATGCTCAGTGGCGGCCTCCCAGCCGCCCCCTGGGGACCAGGCCCCACACACCACTTGCCCCAGCCTGCCTCAGGCGCCCATGGGCTGGAAAAGCCCCGGGATCGGTAAGCAGCGTCTCCTCCCAGTTCCCAGCCCTTCAGCCTCCCCGTCTGGTCTCGTGATATTTTGTTTTAAAGTTGCCTTTTGTGTGTTTTTTTTTTTCTCATTTTTCTTCATCTTCTTCTTATGTCATATATATATTTTCCCCCAAACACGTGCCCTCTGAACTCCATAGACGCTATACTTTCCTTGAAGAAATGTTACAGTCACACAGACAGTGTCTGGAGTCTTCAGCTTGATTGATATTGGCTGATATGTCAAAGGTGTCATCCAACAGTTCTCATTTATAAATATATAGAGAGAGAGGTTTGTTTTTTAATGTAGCCCGTTCAGCATCCTGCCCTAAAATGAAGAAAATCAGGGCTGATTAAGCCAAGAGGGAAAACACAAACAGCATCCAAACACCAATAGGAACCTGCCTCAGGGGTTAGGATGGGAGCTCTAGGGGATGGTGGGAGGGAAGGAAGAGAGACCAGTATGAGAATTAGTCATGATCATGATACATTAAAAAGAAATATACTCTTCTATTCAGAGCAGAAACCACTGGGAAGTCTAGTGGTGATGGTTGTAGCTGAGGTTTCGTTGTTGGGAGAAGGTTCTTGATTTGGGTTACTTTAGCATTCTGGATTGGGGGTAGCTACAACTAAGGGGAGAATTTGGGACTGTGGGATATGAATTCATAATTAAACTTGTCTCTGAGAGATCTAGCCCAGATACAATATGTATACAGAAGCCTAGCAAACAAGATAGGAAAAATCTAGCAGCCCAGCCCACTCCTCCCAGCTCAAGGGAAAGAAGGAAGACACATCCGTGACTCAAATTTTGTAGAATCCTTGCCCAGCTTCCAGCCAACCACTTCTTTCCCGGGGTCAGTAACTATTTGCGAGGCTGTGTATATATATATGTATATCTGGATATATGTGTAGAATATATTCACCTGCACATATGTGGATATACATGGATATGTGTGTATGTATATGCATATATACACACATACACACACATAATACTTTTCTCATACATGCCAGGGAATTTAGAGGAAATTCAGAACTTCAAGGGAGTGGATGGGAAAACCTAAAAAAAGGTCAGAAGAGATTTAATTATCAAACTTAAATAAATTAACTCAGACAGTGTTTGATTTTGTTTTGAATGGTGGCTTTTTGGTGTTTTGTTTTGCTTTAAAAAAAATCATGATCTGACTAGAATCAGAAGGCGAATGCTTAATCATTGTGAATTAACAAATGAGACTCATCTCCATTCTAGCAAGCAGCTTCCACTTATACATGGGGGTGACTGGTTACATCAAGAAAGTTAGAACTGCAAAGCCCCCACTTGAGGGGACAACGTCATGCGTATATCAATCCATGCTGGCAGGTTTTTCACACTGTTGATTCAACAAACAGCAAACCGTACACAGCAGTCTAAACAATTACAACACCAAATAAAATAATAATAAAATTAAAAAACACTTGTCAAGGACCCTTTTTCAGTTGTAAACAAAAAGGTGCATTTTGCTTTTGTTAGTACTGTTTCTTCCAAACCAACCAAAAAAACCCTCCCGAGCCCCCAGTCCCCAGCCTCCCCTCCCCACATTTAATTTAGCAGAAGTGGTTACAATACAAACCTTACAATTGTTACCGGGCTCTCTTGCAGAGGCCTCTGGCTTTGTACTCTAGTTTTTTGGTTTAGAATTTTGTTTTTATCATTCTGTTACTGTAGATATTTTGTTTTTGTTTTTTGTTTTTGTTTTTGTTTTTTTTTTCCCTTTGAAGTGAGATTGAAAATAGCCTAACTGGAAAGACCAGACCTAGGATAGTGTCAATTGAAAAAGGCCCCCAAATTTCTAGAAAAAAATAAAATCACAATATTTTCAAGTGCAAGTAAATCAACCACGCATAGATATTTTTAAGATGTTTTCCTTATTTTTAAGAAAAAAATAATGGTTTGCACAGGTAAATGATCCCATGTTTGATAATTCAGGAATTCATCTTTATTTTGACTATTTTTTGTTCTTTTGTTTTGTTTTTTTCTCTATGTGACATCTAGAGAAGCATAAAAAAACGCTGAACAAGAAAAACCAAACAACAGAAAGTAAAACCACTGCAAGCACCAAGAACAAAACGAAAATGAGCACAGCAAAAAAGATTGTGGCAGCACAAAAGTCAAGAAAATGCACGTGTGATCATGACTGGCCAATCATCAACTGATACAACATCCAAGAAAAACGCTCCAATCACAGCACCTCCACGAAACTTGACGGCAATTGTCATGCAACCGATTCTTAGCCTTGTTACATGACGCCATCATGTCACACTGTGAACTTTGAGTTGATTTGAACTTACGGATGGGGGACTTTTCTCCACTCTCATGTGATTACGTGAACTTTATTCCTAGCTCAGCGCGAGACTGTGGTGGATTTGACTGGCCCTGGTTGGGTTGTTGGAATTTGATTGAATGACAAAAGAAGAAAAGATTTATATATATATTTATATATGTAGAGAGAGAGAGAGAGGACAAGAGAGTGTGGGTGGGGGAAGGAAGAGGTGGGGCAGGGCAGGTGGGGTTGGGGAGTGTGGGAGGGCAGGGAGGGCTGGGATTCAGGTGAAGGAGGGCAAGGAAGAAGTTAAAACAAAATTAAAAAGAAAATATATTTATACAGCACCAGACCACAGCATCAATCTAGAAGCTCTGATGAGAGAACAGCAGTCAAATCATAAGAGAACTGAAAAGAACTCAAAGGATGGAGTAAGCCAGCAGACAAACATGGGCACATCAACACACACACACGCACACACACACACGCACACACATACACACATACACACACACGGTTGTTTATGCAGACACATGATACACTGTGAACAGAAGCAGAACCTCACACAGGGCCACTAAGGGCATCCATCATGCGTTGGGGAGGGGGGCATGGGCGGTTTGGCAAGGGGGCCAGAAAAAAATAAAACAGCCCCTCAAACCACCTTGGCCAGCAAGCAATCTCAGGGAGCAGGCGCTCTGGTTTTCATCACCCTTGATTCTTTCTCTCCCCTAGGGGTGGCGCTCCCCCCCTCCTCAGCTTTCTGTGACTGCAGCCTGTGGGCCAGCAGGGGATGTCTGTCAGGGTGGCCCTGGTCAGCTGGGTAGGTCAGAGGCTTGCTACAGTAACTGCTGTGTCCACGGGGTCCATCTACAAAATGCTTTGCTGCCGTAGTACCACCCAGGCTGGCAGCAGCTCGGCCCTCCCACCCTGTGGACCCACCCTGGCCACCATCCTAGAGAAGGCTACAAGGGCACCCACTGTGGAGGTTATGGCCCGCCCCCGCTTCAGCTCCACCTCAAACTACTTTCCTCGGAACCTGAGCAGGGTTCATTTTGAGATTTGGGGTAAAATTCATCAATGTTCTTGGAATTCTAGAAACATGCCTTGGCACTACTAAGTTCATCTTGCAATTGCTTTCCCCTCTTTCTTTGCTCACACTCTTTGCCTTGCTCCCAAGTGGCCTGTGTAGACAAACTGAGGCTGCATCTAGGCACATGAAGCCCTTCAAAGATTCTGCAGCCCTGACCCATAAAAGGGCCACATGAGGGGCTGGAGGATGCCCTGCAGGGGGCACATGCAAGGCTGGAGGGTCCCCTGCAGGGGGCACAGAGGTGAGCGCCTCCAGCGTCTGCTGCTCCCACTCTTGCTCTGCTGACTTCCCCTGCTCCCCACACCATCCTCTTTTCCCACCCCCTCACCCCACACCCCTCCATGAACAGCTTTCCAGCCTGGCCCACTGCAAGGCCTCAACCTTCTGCTTTCTTTCCTGGTGGAACCCTAAGTGGCTGAGAATGAGCTTTCTTCCCTATCGGGAATCATCAGATGATTCAACTTTCAGTTGACTTCTCCACCCCCTCACCACTTCATAGTCCTCTGCCACACCTGGGATTTGGGGTCCCTAGCTCCACGCCTCCCCATAGTTATCTTGAGCTTGCACTGGATGCCCTGCTCCCCTGTGGCACTCAGGCCTGAGCCAAGGCCTGTGCGCCAGGTTGATCTGCAGGCTTTCGAGGCCACAGGCTTCTACATACAGCGGACTGAATCACTCTCACCTTTATGATTTCCTTCAGGGAGGGAGGAAGGGAGGCCTGGGATCTTAAAATGTCACTGTGGATGAGGGGCAAAGTAACTGAGCCCAAGCCTGGCCTCCAGCTCAACCTTCACAGACGCACCCCAGACTCCTCCTCTGCAGACCCAAGCCTGCCTGCCCACGAGGGCTGGGTTCTTTGTTCTTCCAGCATTGGATCTCCTTCCCCCAGATCAGGGACCGTCCCATGCCCACCAAGTCCTGAAATGCCATTTCCAACTCCTCCCAAAAGCCCTTAGACCCACCCAGGATGGCCAATGGGCAGGTCCCATTGGCATGGGAGAAGAGGCCTAAGGAACTAAGGAGGGTATTGCCATCAGATGGGAGCTGTGGCAACTGCAACTCAAGGACTCCCTGGGACTCTCCTCTTTCCCCCTCCATTCCAGCCCTGAGCCCCTCATGGGCATTCACTCCTTCCCATTCTGCCTGCTCTTCCCCCAGTTTTAGAGTACAGCTGCCTGTCAGGGCCAGGCACTGTCCTGTGTACTGCAACACAAACCTGAATAGCACACAGCCCCTGTCCCTAAAGCTCAATCTAGGAAACTTCCTCACAAACACCCTCATCTCTCACACATGCATGGCCCTAGACACATAATACACCCTCACACTCAGTCCCTGAGGAGCCCCCAAGACTCCACAGGCTCAGGCTCAGCTGGCTACTCTCTTCATTAGGATGCATCTCCTCTTCTGCCTATGGGTGACCCCTTCCTGGCCACTCTTGGGGTGGAGGCTCACACAGGCTCACAGCCCTAGATGTGGCAATGCGATCACTGACCAGCATGGTGAAGCCCAACTCACCAAGCTGGGTGAGGAAATTATGGCGAGGCTGAACCAATTCAGGTCTCAGGTCCTAAAATGAGCTGGACTCAAGCAAAGGAGGGCCAGGACCAAAGCCACAGCCCAGCCCTATATAGGTCAGACTCAAAGAAGCCTGGACCCAACCCTTCCCAAAAGCATACTCAAAGCCAGAGTCACAGGACTCACTGGGGTCAGGACAAGATGCTTGGTGCACTCTCCAGCCATAGAACTGGAGTGCTAGGAGTCTGAGAATCTGGCCTGCTGCTAGGGCCCAGTGTGTCTGGTAAGCGGTGGCAGAACAAGGGGCTCAGAGGCCAATCTCTGAGCTGGGCGGGGCCAGGCTGGGTGTGTTCTGCCCGCTGGCTGTGGACCTGGCCATATGCATGTTTTTGCTTACTCTTCCTGCCTTTGCTTCCTTCCTTATTTAGTTTCCTGGCAAAGATTGCTTGGAGAAACTCCCCTCTTAGCACAAGACAACAAACCCAAGCCGCCAGACGGGTAGGACAGTGGGGAAGCAGAAAACCAGCTAGGAAGGAGAGTCACTGACTCCAACCCTGATCCCACCCCACCCAGGACCTTGCTTCATGGAACCAAAGCCCAACTGTACTCCCCACAGCTGCCCTGCCTGGGCCCCTCTCCCTCCCCCAGGTCTGCCCCACTCCCTTCTGACTTGGCCTTAGAAAACCTGCACCACCATGGGGCAGCTGCCCCAGCCCTGAGGTCCCCCTTCCACCTCCCACTTTGCTCCCAGCTATGGCTGGTCCCTCAGCCCCTGCTCAGGCTTCCTGCCCTTCTGAGCAACCCTGGGGCTGCAGCTCAGGACTCAGCACGAACGAATACCCTTTACTGGCCTGTGATAAGCAGGCAGTATTTTAGCTGCTTTTTTGTGCCTTTTCCTCCCTCCCTGGCAGTCCAAGGGCAGCTACTTCTCACTGCAGTCCCCAAGGCTGCCTTTAGAAGCTCCCTATCTCTTCTTAGCACCCTCCTTCTATTAGAACTTCCAACAGTCTTGGGCTGGGAAGCCTGACAGCACCATTTGCTAAAATGCTGTCTAAATGAAAATTAAATGTCAACTTTACTGTAGGAGTTATGTCACATCGTAGTTTTTTTACAGGACTGCTTAGTAGAAAGGAGGTGGTTAGATGGCTGACCCCAGAAAAGTGAGGTGTCATACATGCTCCCTCAGGACATTCAGGATACTCTGGGGTGATGGGTTGGGCTGAGGGTAGGGTGGGGCTTCTCATCCTCACTCGAAGGGAGGTAGGCTCCCTGGCTTCAAAGCTTGGCTCTGTGACTCACTAGCTGATGGGCAAGCTACTTAATCTCTCTATGCCCCATATGTGAAATGGAAATACTAACACTACCTACCTTATAGGTAGTTGTAGCTATGTAGTTACATCTCCTAGTTGTTACCTCTCAGCATTGCCTGGTGCATGGTAAGCACTGTGTGAAAGTCTAGGGTTCTAATCTTTCTGCCTTTTGCATGCCCTGGTGGAAGAACCCACTTTGTGTTTTAAACCACTCCTCCCAAGCCCCAACCCCAACTCTGAATGCCAGCTGGTTCCACCCTGTGGGCACTTCTGACTTTATATCCCAAACAATAAACCTGCCTTCTCACTCCTTCATCTGGGAATTCCTCTAACCTGGAGGTTTTACCCTGGCTTGAGCCAAGGAGCCTAAGACAAGCTACTTTCAGGGGTGCCCCTTGGAATCTCAGGGCATGACCCGGCCTGATTCATATCCCCCTACCCCCAAATCCTCTAGTTGACTCTAATACCTTAGTTTCATTAATGAGAAAAAAGAAGCCCAAAGAGGACAAGCACCCTAACCCAGGTCACACCTTAATGGCAGAGCTATGCTGATTTAAGAAAAAGTGTTCTACATACAGAAAAAGAAGCTTTCATGAAACCGTCCCTCCATTCTTATGGAAATGCCCCCATCTGCAGGCTGCCTCCTGGTGTCCCTGTGTGCACAGAGCCAGAAGCTCCTTGAGGGCAGGGATGGTGACTCATTCATCCTTGCATCCCCAGCACTGAGCCCAGTGCCTGGCACAAGAAGGTGCCCCAACTCTGAATAACATGTGTGTTTGCATCTGCACACAAGCCAGAAATGGGCAAGGATGGGAAACCAGGAGGCAGGAAAGACTGGTTTTGCTTTTCCAGGATTGCAGAGAGTGGCGGCACAAGCACTCCCCCAGAGAGAAGGCCCCTGCTCTCAGAGGGTGCAAGTTGCTACTTCTGGGGGGAGGGAGGGTGTTCTGCTGGTGTCTGTACCCCAGCACTGGGTGGAAGATTTGAGGGGAGACTGAGAAGCTGGAGACCTCCCTCCCAAACTCTGGACTCTGAAAGTCAGCTTAAATGTATAATTCTCACATGCCTGATCTTTCTCCCAATCTCTCTGTTCTTCCAGTGATTTGGGCCAAAAGCCTGGGACTCATCCTTGGCTCCTCTTTCAAAATACATCTAGAAATTAATTCCTTCACATCTCATCAACTGCTGTGATGCTGGACTGAGTGGTCCGTGCAGTAGATCTATGCTTTGGCCCCCTACAAGCTATTATCAACATAACAGCCAGGGTGACCCCACTGAAATTCAAGTTACCCATCACTCTTCTGTTCAGAACTCTCCAATGCTCTCTCCATCTCCCAATTCAGAGAAGAGACCAAAGTCCACATAGTGGCCTTCAAGGCCCCACACCAGGTAGCCCTCCTCACTTTCTCAGCAACCCAGTCTCCTGCTGTTCCTACCCCACTTTGCAGCCCCACCTTGCAGCCTCCATGCTGACTGTTCCCTCAGAGGCAGGGGCATGGCTGCTCCCCTCACCTTCTATGCTCCAATTCACTTCCTCAATGAGATCTACACTGTCCATGTGGTTTAATTGTAGCCAAGAATCTTGACATACTAGATCATATTCTTTGATCACATGTCATTGTTTATTGTCTGTCTCCACCTTCTCAGTCTTGCTCAGTGCTGAACCCCAAGTACCTAACACAATAGCTGGCACACAATACTGCTGAATAA